AAAACACTGAGATGCTTTAAGATTCTATATTTAAACTGCTTTTCTATTCCCATGAAATTTACTTTTAGTAGAGAATTTATAACATGAGGAAACTGTATATGTAAATCACATTAGCCTGGTTTTTATTCACTGTAATGTATGCAACATACTTGGAAGAGAAATTTCCACCTTAATAATCAGTGCCCCTTTGGGCTACGCACTTGTACAGTTAAGGTCCAACTTGACAGAGAGAAACTGAAGATACTTACTAAACTGAGAACAAACACTGTCCCTTTTTTTTTCAGCAGGAAGGGGTCAGATGAAAATCCTAAATGCTATAAAATTAAGTGTTCCTTTTCCTGATAATTCTAGTCATCTTTGTTTTTTTTTGTGGGAACTGTTCAGTGCCCTGTTGCTGTTGGCCAAAACGTGCGTGCTATTCAATGATAGTTTAAAAGCTTTTCTCTCAAATATGTCCTTATAGTGTCCTTAATCTGACTGATGGTAACATATGACAATTTCAGATGGTTGCATTTAACTGTCCGTTGTCTCTAGCATTTCATAATGGATGTGTGTACTGAAATGCTGAGTGAAATACAGAATCTGTCATGTCCTTTGTTTTTACAGTAAAGACTGAAACCAAATGCCTAACCTGTGAATTTGTGTAGCACCTGTTCCGTATTACAGCCAGAGATGAAGGATCAGAAGAGTGAGTTCCCTATTCAAATACAGATTCCAGAATGAGACAAATACATCCTTACTTTCAAACCTTAGGTAGTATGGTCCTGCTTCATTCAGATGGAATTCTACATTAAAATATATCACACACACAATGCACTCATGACTTTAAAGATAACTGCATGTAGAATTACACTCCGTCTGTTGGGACTGCCAGATCAATTACTTTAACTTCATTGCCTGGCCAATTCAGTCCAGTAACTGCCTTAAGTGATTTTTTTTGGGGGGGGGGGGGTGCTCCTGCTGAATTTGCTAAGCCAACTTTATTTTGTATGTAACTACTGAGCTACCACTATGACCAAGAGCTGTACTAAGTACCTTGGGGGGATCCGTGGGACTAGAAGGTATCTCCCCAATCTGCACTGAGTTTACAATACAAACCTATTCCTAAGGCCTGGCAGAATGTGATTTAGTACTAAGGGCCCAGAATACATGGGTTTTGATGCTGGATGTTTTTGTTTCTGTAGGAAGCAAATGGGTTTTATAGCAATTGTGGAATATCAGATAGGGAAGGCAGGAGTTGAACAGAGGGGTAGGAAGTGAATGTGCCAGTTAGGAAAAGGGGAGAGAAGCATTAGCAATATATTGGGCCACCTTTGAAATTAACATGCCCTCATGGACATCTTTATTGAAAAGACTGAGTTGAAAATTAGTGCGGTTAGATTGTGGAAGGCTTAGAATATATACTTTTTGAAGATTTATTTAGTTATTTGAAAGGCAGTTACAGAGAAAGATACAGAAACAGAGAGAAATCTTCCCTCTGCTGGCTCACTCCCCAAATGTTACAACAGCCAAGGCGGGATCAGGCCGAAGCCAAGAGCCAGAAACTCCATCTGAGTCTCCCACATGGGTGTCAGGGGCCCAAGTACTTGCGCCATTTTCTGCTGCCTTCTCAGGTGCATTAGCAGGGAGCTGGATTGGAAGCACAGCAGCTGGGACTTGAACCAGCACTCCAATATGGTATGAACGCATAACAGGTAGCGGTTTAACCCACTGCATCACAATGCTGGCCCCAAGGTTTAGAATCTTAAGTAAAGGAGTTTAGGATTCTTCTCGCTCTCTCATTTTTTAAAGATTTATATATTTATTTGAAAGTCAGAGTTACACAGAGAGGGGAGAGGCAGAGAGAGAGGTCTTCCATCCGCTGGTTCACTCCCCATCTGGCCGCAACTTGCCGCAATAGTTGGAGCTGCGCCGATCCAAAGCCAAGAGCCAGGAGCTTCTTCCGGGTCTCCCATGTGGGTGCAGGGGCCCAAAGACTTGGGCCATCTTGTACTGCTTTCTCAGGCAATAGCAGAGAGCTAGATCAGAAGTGGAGCAGCCAGGTTTCAAACCGGCACCCATATGGGATGCCAGCGCGTCAGGACAGGTCTTTAACCCGCTGCGCCTCAGTGCTGGCCCCAAGAATTTTTCTTAGAAATGTTAGGGACAGGGCCATTATTATGGTGTAGTGGGTAAAACTGCTTCCTGCACCATTGGCATCACTCATGGGGGCTGGTTCATGTCTTTGATGCTCTACTTCTGATCCAGCTCCCTGCTAATGGCCTGGGAAAGGCAGCAGAAAACAGACTAAGTGCTTGGGCCCCTGCTATCCAAATGGGAGATCCAGAAGAAGCTCCTGGCTTTGGCCTGGCCTGGTCCTGGCCATTGTGGCCATCTGTTGAGTGAGCTAGTGGATGGAAGATCTCTCTGTCTCTGTCTCTCCCTCTCTCTCTCTCTTTCAAATAAATAAATATTAAAAAAAAAAAAAAGGAAGGAAAAGAAGGAGTGTTAGGGAGCCACTGGAGGTTTCTTAGCAGGTTAACCATAAAATAAAGTTCAAGATTTTGGAAGATTACTCATGGTCATGCTTTCCTGCTACCTTATGCCTTGGTGGGCTTTCTGCCCTCACTCTCTTAACCCTCCCACTTTGGTACTGTGGGTACCTCCATGTCACTACAGAACCCTGACTCAGGGCAGTCCATTTTTCCATGTCCCGCAGTCCTGCACTCAGACTGCCAAATACCCATGCAGGGAGCCCCTCAGAGGTACACACTGATGCCTCTGCCAGGTGCTGGGCTTTCCCAGCTTCTGCTGCACGCAGGGGTGCAGTGTGTTTACACGTCTTTGGTACACTGCCTTCTCCCTTAGCCTACAGCTTCCCTTCCAGACCCTGCCACCCTGCACCATTTTTCTTGCTGATCTCCCCAAATTTACAAAGCTTTGTGCTGAGATGGAGGAAAGGCAATGTATGGTGATGCCTTTAAGTTGAAGCCAATTTCCTGCTGTTAGTTGATTTTATTTGCCTTTCACTTTGTGAAAGACATCTTTGATCAGAAGAAGCATCCATTATACATGGTTTATAGGCCAGGGACAGGATTAGATGTTTTTTGCATCTGTTACCTCATTTAATCTTCCCATCAACACAGTGTATTAGTACTGTAATATGCCCATTTCATAGACATTATGCTTATTCAACCTAGGATGGCCGCAGACCACAGCACAAGGGTAAGGTGACATGTCCGCTTGTCACCAGGGCATGAGCCTTGACAGTGTGTCAGCCACCACCCACCTCAGCTGCACACACATTTATGTTCATCTCTATCTCTCCTACCCCACGCTTCTGCTAAGCTTTACTCCTCCAGGTAGAGGACAGGGATGGGGAGAAGCAAGAACTTGGAAGTACGGGGGAGTTTGGTAGGATCCTGTTTCTATAAGTAGAGCTCTGGTTTCCAACTGCAGGAGGTCCCAGCAGCACGCAGCTTGGAGTGGACTGGACTTCTCTGGACGCAGGAGGATGCTGTGAGTCTTGTCCTGCAGGAGTCAAGCCCTGTCTCTGAGCACCAGCTAGTAAGCAGCACCTCCCTGAGGAGGGTGGGCAGGCACCCGAGCCACAGAGGACAGCCAGAATAGCACCGTGCTTCTCATTGTTTCTTGGCACTCAGCCCCAGTCTTTCAGCAGCTGCATCACCCACTATCCATTTTTCTGTTTAAGACATAATCTCGCCGGCGCCGCGGCTCACTAGACTAATCCTCCGCCTTGCGGCGCCAGCACACCGGGTTCTAGTTCCTGTCGGGGCGCCAGATTCTGTCCCAGTTGCCCCTCTTCCAGGCCAGCTCTCTGCTGTGGCCTGGGAGTGCAGTGGAGGATGGCCCAAGTGCTTGGGCCCTGCACCCCATGGGAGACCAGGAGAAGTACCTGGCTCCTGCCATTGGATCAGCGTGGTGCGCCGGCGGCGGCGGCCATTGGAGGGTGAACCAACGGCAAAGGAAGACCTTTCTCTCTGTCTCTCTCTCTCTCACTATCCACTCTGCCTGTCAAAAAATAAAAATAAAAAAAAATTTTTTTTAAAAAAAGACATAATCTCCAGCAATTCACAAGCTCCATTCAGTAGTCTTACACCTAGCTCCCATCGGTAAAGGCAGCACATGTGACACTTCTTGTGTCTTTCTGAGGACTTTATATCCCAGTTATGTGACCCCAATTTAGTTGTTCTCCTTTACTACTTTCTACTCAACCAACTGATAGCCATGCATCCTTTATCTCCTTTCACATCACATCAGTATTGAATAGACCTGTTTAAGTCCAAGTACTACAATACATTTGTGAGTACCTTTCTGAGGGACACAGTCTAGCTGTTTTTCCAGAACCACTGAATTTAGTCATGATACTAATTAATTAGTTTGGTTAATCACAATATTGTCACATCCTTTCCCTTTTATTTTCTCTAAAGGTAGCTATCATGAAAGACATTGTCATAGGTGCCCTCCCCCCACCTCTCTGCTAGGGATCTGTTCCAAAATCCCCAGTGCGTGCCTGAAACCAGGGGTAGTACCAAAACTTATATACTGATGTACTATGTTTCTTCCTATGATAAAGTTTAATTTGTAAATAAGACACAGTAGGAGATTAACAGCAACTAATAACAAAATACAACAATTACAGCAATGTACCAAAGTAAAACTTATGGAAATATAATATCTCTGCTTCTATCTCAAAATATCTTTTTATACTATACTCTCCTTCTCCTTGTGATATAAGGTTATCTGGTGGCCTGTGTGATGAGAGGAAGTATGGTGAATGACATAGGCATGGTGAAGTAGAGTTTGGCTATTAGGTAAGGGTTGCTGGAACATAAGCACTGTGAAACCGTGACATTCAATCTGATAACCCAGACAGCTACATAGCTATGCTGGACAAAGAGATAATTCAGGTCTGGGTGGGATGGATGGGGATGGTGTCAGATTTCATCATGCTATTCACAATGGCATGCAAATGTAAAACTTACATTGTTTATTTCGGCAATTTTTCATGTAATAATTTTGGACCACAGTTGACTGCTGGTAACAAACTACAGAATGCAAAACCACCCATGGGGGACTGGGGACTCTGCAGTACAGTACTGTCTCAGCACATCCGTGAACTTCTCTGGACCTCAGTTCTCATTTGTGAAGTGCTTGTATCACTTACTTCACAGTGATGTTCTGGGGGCAGATGCCAGAGAGCATCACAGGAAAACACAACACAGGGAAAGTCTGGCTTTAGCCCTAGACCTTGGGTTTTCTGTCCAGTTCTTTTTCCTCTGAATCGTGCCTTCCAGATGTGAGATAGGCTGCCCAGGAAATAGATATTCCTTTTCCTTTGCTGACTGCTTGTCAGAAATGTTGCCTGGGAATCCTTTCCAGCTCCAACATTCTGTGATTTTATTGATCTTGTGAAATTTGATTCAGGTGTGTTCAGAATATTCAGTTAACATACCATCTTGGTTTGCTTCAGTCTTTCAATATCACCAACCCCTGTGCATGCACACTGAAAAAAAAAAAAAAAAAAGCAACAGCACAGTATCTAAAAAGTTTCATTAGCTTTTGAGTTTTACTTAAAATATGAATATACACCAGTAACCTAAATTTTACAGTAATTAGTAAGCACTACAGCCATAGCAATACTCACATTGTAAGCATTTCTTTTGCTGAATTTGCAATGATAAAGTGCAGTCCAGGAAAGAAGCCGGCTAACTCCCCACTGCCCTTGCTGCTTTCCTGCGGACAACCCTTCCCAGTACCTCCTAGGACTCAAGGGCCCAGGCACCTTCCTTGGGTGGAGAAGTGCTCACCAGTGCATTGTGTGTGTTGATGGTTTGATACATGTGTTTGTTCTCTCAGCTCACATCTTTCTTTTCAGTAGTAAACATCAAAGGAAGAATCTCTGTACTCCTTTATTCAAAGACTTCCAGCTTTGCATCTACCTTCAATCTGAAAAAAAAAGAAAGTCATATTATCAGTCAATGGTTTAAGCAGTTAAAGTCACAAAACAATTATAAGCAGAATGTTCTAGAATCAGTTTACCTTCCTTAACAGTGATGAGAATACCTGTTATACATCTTTGTTTTCAACTAAAAGTTAAAATAATGATTCTTAGATCAAGTATAGAGATACCTGTAAGCTTTTTGAGAAATTTGAGTAAGCATTATAGTTTAACATGAAGTGCATAGACCTATTTGATTGGAATAGGATAAATCTTAATGTATCTTTATATATATATGTATATATATATAATTATTTAGCTAGAGAAACTATTAGATCCTGTACTAAGTAACAAAATGATCCTTGTATACATCTAATATGCAAACCACATGCTACATTTTAATTGATAGTCTTAATACTTTTATAGTGGTTGATATATATATATATATATACACACACATAATAAAAAGAAATCTTAGAAACAAGTCTTTTATCTGTCTGCATTAGAGGGGTGGAATAAATGTAGCATCACATTCCAATTCTCACAGTTTGGAAAGATTTTTTTCATTGTGTGTATAGTCTCATATACAGGCTCAACAATGTCATATTGTTTCTTCTTTATATAAAGAGAATTAGTGTCAGTTAATATAATTTTTGCATCAATACTAAAAAGGTATTGGCTGAGCTTGCTGATTAGTAGATTGGTTCTAAAACTAAGCTAGCAGCACTGAAGATATTTCAAACTGAAAATAAACCTGGCCTTTAAATAAATTATTACCTTTAACTTTTTTTAGGACAAAATTTGAAGATAGCCAGCATGATATTTCTTCTTACCGTTTTCTGAGCTTTGTGATATGTATTCAGTACTAGTTCTTGATAATTTGTTAACAAGGCGTTTTTAACACTTTGGACAGATGCACATACTGTTTTCAATCTTCACGGTTAATTATTCGATTTTGTATTTGATGCCAGAACACCCTGACTCCTAATCACTGCTCATTGTTGCAAGTCCATTATATTCTAACTGTTTGAGTGCTCCCATTGACCTTGAACTGACATTATAAGCTGTGTCTAATCTTTTCAGTCTATATTTCTAATGCTTCTTTTCTCTTTTCCTTTTTTTCTGATCCCTGTTTAGCATCACAATGGGGCTGCCTCTGAGCCCAGCAGCTGACTCCGCCCGCTCTGCGAGGCATGCCCTCTCGCTCATTGCCACTGCCAGACCACCCGCCTTCATCACTACCATAGCCAAAGAGGTGAGTGGAACTTCTCAGTGTGCTCCATCTTCTCATCCAGAGGCATTATTTGATATGCAAGCCTCATGGCCATATCCACAAGTAATCCTTCCAGTGGGTTGTAGTTTAGAAAAATCCAAGTTACTAATTCAGTAATGAAATGAACACACATTGTGTTTGTGTGCATTCATTACTCCTACCTTCGTATCCATTTATATCACTTGTAAATCTTTGACAATAATTTTTCAATCTGAAATATAGCAGGCCTATGTTAATTAAGCTATTATAGTAAGGGTGTTCACTTTTTTTTTCAAGTCTAAGTACCTACTTGTAGTGAAAACCAAACTTATTTAGCCCTGGCTCACCAACTGTAAACAAAAAATGTAAGTCATAAACTTGCTAATTGTTTTTCCTATTACATGTCACAGATAAAGACTTGAATGCCGATTGATTCCCACATTCTTAGTGTTCTAACTAATTGCCCACATCTAACTGAAAAACTAGTAAAGAACAATGAACCAATTATAGGATCTCTGCTGTAGGTCTTAGTAGTGGGAGAAAAAGGAAAGGATGATAAGCTCCTAAATTTTTTTAAAAGTTTGTCCCATTTCTGCATGAATAATATGCAGATTCCATGTCCCTAGGGAATGGCTCTGAGTTGTTTTTCCTGTAGCAATGATGAATTTTTAAAACACAAAATAAATACCTCTAAGTCTACCCTGATAACGTGAAACCTACTGGGCCTGGGTGTGCCCCAGAGCCATCCCTAATAGAAGTGCTGTAAATATCTGTGACATGGGGGTAGCTGGGAAGAAGGAAGGAAGGTCTTGCTGGCAGTTTGTGTAGCTTATGAAGGCAGTAAGACTTTGGATTCATGTCTAAAATAAATCTGTAGACTAAGGATATGTGCTTTTCTTAAGTGCCCAGTTTTATAGTAAGAATCCATTATGTCAAAAATATACATAGACTTGTATGTCTTGTGAATGTTTGGGGACATGTGTGTATATCTAGATGAATAGTTTTATTAGCTTTGGAAATATTTTTATCCATTTTTCCTATCAGTGACGTATACACAGCTAGTAATATTGAATATACTAACTAAGCCATACATTAATCTGATATGTGCTTATATTAATAGTGTCTTTAAATCTAATCTGTACCATTAATACATGAGTATTTTTAAATGAATTCTTAAAATATTCATGCTTTGGATTAATTCTGCACCAGCTTCTGGCTGAAAGGTAATTTTCAAAAATATTTTAATGTAACAGTCCATATTTATACCTTTTAAAAACAAATTCTCCACTTCACTTTTTAATTATACAATATTTTAAGTAAAATACTACTTGTGACTATTATCACTGTCCTGTATGAAACTCATCTATCCACCATTCTGTGACCAATATAGCGCTAGCTCTTTTTTCTCTGAACTGTAAAGCTTACATTTTGTATAGGAAAAAGAAATCACACTGGATTTGTACTAATTTTTGGATCCAATTTCATTTCGATTTCTCAACTTGATGGTAAATTGCCTAGAATAGTGGCTGGGACACAGTGTTATAGTCATATGCATGGCTTTCAATATTTATATCTTTTCACCAAAGTAAATTTATCTTTTAATTATACTTTCCTTGAACTTTTTGAAGTACCTTTGTATGTGTATCATTTACCGTTGTTACTTGAGAGTAGGGATTGTATCTGACACTTCCGGGTATCTCCTAACTGCTACACACCTCAGTACCTAAAAGTACCAAATTCACAAATCTTCAGCTTGTTTCTTTTTAAAAATGTCACAGTAATAATTGTAGTTAGGCCTCAAATAATGCTCAGGAACTTAAAGAATTTTGTTAAACAATATTTTCTGAGTTTTTATTTTACTAGGTACTTTTCTGCAACCAAAAGTGTTTCCTTACTCACCTCAATAGGTTTCTATTTGTTTATTATTTATTTTTCCTATTGTTTTAGTAAGTGAAAAACAATAAATAAATAAAATAAAATAAAATAAATAAACCAGTGGCTAGAAATGTAAAAGTGTGTCAGCAGTCAGTCGTATCTACAGCATGGAAATGTTTTCATAGGTGCACAGACATACAGCTCTTGCAGCAAATACCCAGTCACAACAGAATATGCACACCACAACTCTTGCACGAGCTAAAGGGGAAATCCTGAGAGTCATTGAAATTCTAATTGAAAAGATGCCCACAGATGTTGTGGATCTTCTTGTGGAGGTAAGAATATCCTACTTCAAATGATGCATCAGTATTCTGAATTAAATAATCTACTGCAGTAATATTAATCAGTGTATTTACTTGTGGCATCTCTAAAGCATGCGTAGAGACAGAAGGGGAGAGAGAGAGTCTGTGTGTGTGTGTATGTGTGAGAGAGAGAGAGAGAACTAAAATGAATTAACTTTTGTGCCATTTCTGGAGACATTAATTAAATTTCCTCAAAAATCAAAATGATTGCTATGTCTATTCACCATTCACATGGAATTGCTCTGTATTAGAGTAAATTTTAAAGATTATGTTCTCCTAGATCTTTCATTATAAATAAAACAAAATGTGTATTGTTAAATAAAAGCTAGTTACACTGTACATATGTCTGCATTCACCTTAAAATAAACAAGTCTGTTCTCTTTATTTTATTACACTACCATTTAATGTTTTTATAGGTAAGAGAAAGGATACCACGTAGCCTATGTACATTTGAAACTGCTCTTGTCTCACTCTAAAGACTAACGTCAAACTATTTAGAATTTTCATAGGCAAATGTTAATCCTTTAAATTCTGGAAAATTACCTACTTGAGATTAATTTTAGATCCATGTCTTTTTTGCCAAAGGTTATGGACATCATTATGTACTGCCTTGAAGGATCCTTAGTTAAAAAGAAAGGTCTTCAGGAGTGTTTCCCAGCCATCTGCAGGTAATAACCTTCAACAGCATGCAAAACAATTTTCAGTAACATATTTTTAGAAAACGAGGTGGGGTTTTGTTGGAAATCTTCCTCAGAAATCCAATTATAATTAATTAGTATCTGATTATTTTCTGAAAAATAAAAAAAAACAAACCACGAATATAGTAGAACCAACTGTTTGAAAGTGAGTCTGGAGACATTTTACTCAAAACTTAAAAAATGAGTAAGACACAGCATGTATTGAATGTGTGTTTTTATTTCTGTTACTCAATGATTATGTACATTACAAAATGGAGTTAGGAAACCTCTGACGCAGGGAAGAAGATGCGCTTTTCAGCCAGTAGGAATCTTTGTGCCACATTTTCACTGGTAAATTTTATTTTTAATATAAAGGCCATTATTTGTGTTAAGTATAGGTGTTTTCCCTATAAGAAGGCAGCAAAAGGAGCCAAAAAGCTTTACAACTCAACAACAGATGTGTTAGCTTCCATCACGATAACTAAACACCCGATGCAGGCTGCTCCTCGTGGAAGGAGTGTATCTCAGCTCTTGGTTCTGGAGGTTCACAGTCCAAGACTGGTTCTGCTTCTGATGATTGCGCTCCTCTGGCAGGGTCCCCAGGCCATGCAGAGAATCCCGTGGCAACAGGGAGCACACATGCCTCTGTGTCCCCTTGTGAAACCACCATGTTCAATCTCAGCACTCCACCCAAACCCTAACAACCTAATCCAATCTAATAACTTCCCGAAGGCACTTTGGGGACCAAGATGATTTTACAGGGGACTTTAGGAGGACTCGCAAACTACTGTCCAATCCATAGCAACAATGTTACATATGTCACATCTAACTGAAAGAATTGTGTATGTTTTGCATAGCATGTAACTGTTATTATATGAAGATTTTTAAAGATTTATTTATTTACTTATTTGAAAAGCAGAGTTGCAGAAAGAGAGAGAGAAGCAGAAAGAGAAAGAGAAAGAGAGATCTTTCATCAGCTGGTTCATTCCCCAAATGGTTGTAAGAGCCAGGGCTAGCCCAGTCTGAAAACAGGAGCCAGGAGCTTCCTCCAAATTTTCCACATGGCTGCAGAGGCCCAAGGGCCTGGGCCATCTTCCACTGCTTTCCCAGGCACATTAGCAGGAAGCTGGATCTGAAGTGGAGAGCTGGAACTCAAACCAGTGCCCATATGGAATGCCGGTATCACAGGCAGTGGCTTAACCCACTGTGCCACAATGCCGGCCCCTATGATATGAAGAATTTTAAATGTAAAAATGTAAGAACAGGGGCCAGCATTGTGGTGTAGTGGGTAAAGCTGCCACCTGTGATGCCAGCATCCCTTATGAGTGCCAATTCAAGTCCCTGCTGCTATACTTTTTTCTGCTTTTACAATAGGACTTTTTATCCTAGCCTCTCTGCTTTGCAGTTTCTGACTTATACCATCAAAAAGTAAAAATGTGAACATAGATTTTTTTTAATATATGCTGTACCATACAGGTGCATTCTTCCTTGTGATGTTGATTAGACAAATCAGTATACAGTAATTTTTTTTTAAGATTTATGTATTTTATTTGAAAGGCAGAGTTACAGAGCAAGAGGGAGAGACAGAGAGATCTTCTATTCGCTGATTCTCTCTCTCCCCAAATGGCCGCAGTGTCTAAAGCTGGGCCAGATTGAAGCCAGGAACCCGGAGCTTTTTCCTGGTCTCCCACATGGGTATGGGGGCCCAAGCACTTGGGCCATCTTCCACTGCTTTCCCAGGCACATTAGCAGGGAGCTGAATACGAAGTAGAGCAGCCAGGACTCAAACTGGTGCCCATATGGGATACCAGGCACTACAGGCAGCGGCTTTACCTGCTACACCACAGCGCCAGTCCTAGTATAATAATTTTTAATATTGTGCTGCATTAATTCTTCTTTAGGTTCTTCATGTTAAAATTTGTATATATTTAATCACTCATGCAATTAACTGATTTTAAGAATACATGTAGCTTTTACCTTCCTAGCTGAATATTCTCTTTGCAAATGTCTATATTAAAATGCACAGTGTTTGTGACAGGTGGAGGTGGTGAGGAAGCAGTTCTGTTGGGGCTTACCCTACTGAATGCTCACAGTGTCCTCTATAGCACCAGGCGCTGCTGTGCAAATAAGCTTCCTGGAGTTCATGTGAGTGAATTGTTCAGTGTTTAAAGGCCTGTTTCCCGCTTTGCTGGAGGCCTGCCATCTCTGCGAGCAGCAGCCTCAGTCCTGAGTCGGCTGCCGTCCGCTTTGGTTTGCTACTGTTTAACAGCTGCGGACTAGGATTCTGCATGAATGTTAAGGAGGCATTTGTCTTCCTTGAATGAATCCTCAGTATACAGTTTTTCTGATTTGGCAGAAAGCAGTTTTATTTTGTTTATTAATTTAATCACATTCATTGCACACTTACCGTGCCTCAGGTAGGCCCTGGGGAAGTGGTGATGAATAAGGTGATATTCTCAAGGAGCCTAGAGTCTAAGAGGGGAGCTAGATACACAGACACAGATGAGGCCAGCTCCTGTGTTATGTGCATCCCAGGGACCAAATGGGGCCGTCAATGCGGGGCATAATTGGCATATCGGAGTCTGAAAAAGCTTCACAAAGGAGAGGGCCGATGAATATATTATCTGTAGAAATGTTTTGCTAAAAGGGGCTGCCAGTGCAGAGGGGAGGTTGTCCTCTGAGGGGCTGGGGTAGGGCGGTGGGGGTGGTCAGTAGTGGGTTCTGGGAAAGCTTCACAGAAGAGTTGTAGCGGTGGGCTTTGCAGAGCAAACAGGTGTGTTTCATCCTGAATTGCACAGGCAGCCAGACCTGCCAGCATTTGGAGTGAACGTTCGGAGGCACAAAAACACCCAGTGAGTTTGATAAATGCTGTGTGAAAGGGTGGCTGCAACTGAGGCTGAGCATGGAAGTCGAGTGTCATGCCAGGGCATGGAATTTCACATGGAAAGTTTGTCCATTGTTGAAGAGCAATGGGGACTCAGAGCTGGGAAGATAGAAGCCAGCCACACAGGACTTCTTGTTTGGGAATCAGTCGTAAACACAGAAGGACGATTAATAGAACAAGCTTGTAACTTATGCTGAATGGTAGTTAGAACATAGATATACTGGCAGCAGGATTGTTGCAACCCTGAATTAATTTTGTGTATATGAAGAAGCAGTGGAAGAAGTAAAACAGGTAACATTTAAGAATGAATTTCTGTAGATGCTCTGCCAACTCACTGGCCTTTGCTTTACCTTCATCCATCTGCTGGGTGATCTTCTGAAGGGCATCGGGCAGCACTCTAGGTCATTGCTGTTAAGGGCAGAAGGTCAGAGGATTCTGAGTAATTTACATTTAATTACCTGGTATATAAATAATATAGCTTCAGTTAAAAATACCGTGGTTACAAAGAAAGTAAGAGTTAGCTCCTTTTCAGGCTTAGGCAGATAAACATCACTGAACTGTCTTTAAGAATTCATTTTTTTTTCTTTATTTGACAGGCAGAGTTAGTGAGAGAGAGATAGAGAGAGAAAGGTCTTCCTTCCGTTGGTTCACCCCCCAAATGGCCACTACAGCTGGCACACTATGCCTATCTGAAGCCAGGAGCCAGGTGCTTCCTCCTGGTCTGCCATGCAGGTGCAGGTGCCCAAGCACTTGGGCCATCCTCCACTGCCTTCCCAGGCCACAGCAGAGAGCTGGACTGGAAGAGGAGCATCTGGGACTAGAACCCGGCATCCTTATGGAATGCCAGTGCCATAGGCAGAGGATTAACCAAGTGAGCCATGGCGCTGGCCCCAAGAATTCATTATTAAAATTTAGTTGCAAGTTGCTGTGTTACTGAACTTAAATCTACTTGTAAAGTCCCTCACACAATAGACCAGTAAATACTGAGTGTGTCATGTTAGATTCAGTTTGATTATGTATTCTTCATTCAATTATCATATCAACACTGACCTACTTTATACTAGATTGCACTGACAAAAAATAGGAAAGTGTAGAGCCATACTTTTGGTATATGCTATACAGATGTTTACAGAACTATATAGGAAGTAGTAGAGAAAAGCACTCTTTAGTGATACATATATGTTCCAAAAGGAACAGATGGTTATTTGTTTTGTAAAAATATTTTCAACTAACATAAGGGAAACTGAAGCTCTTAAAAGCTATGATGAAAATTCAATTAGAAATGAAGTTTAAAAACTTATGAAAATATAATAGGTGCAATATTTAAGGGTAAAACTATTATGTTCTTAAAGACTAGTAATCACATAATACACACACAAAAAAGGCTAAGTGATGCTTTAAGTGAATTGAATTTGATGAGAAAATATGATATATGTAAGAGTTGGATGATTTCCATATTTTTAATAGCAAAGATGAATTATGCCTTTGAGTGTGATTTTTAGTTACTTACAACTGCAGAATCACATATATTATCTGTAGCTTGATGGAGGGGGGTTTTGTCTTCATTTTTTTCAAGTGCCCTATCACAAGTAGTAGCTCCATTTGGCCAAAGACCACTTGCCTCTGAGTTCTCAGATAGGTCCTTATTCCACGTACTTGTATTGTTTTTAGGTTGAGGCAATTTATTTGATGTATAACTAAGAGTGACTTAATTTTTATGTTTTTTAAAGACCTGTCAAATAAATGCACAGATTCAAAAGAAATCCTTTGTTGGACTCTTCCATTTTTAGTTTAAAAAATATGAACACTCAATGTGGGCGCTCAATAACTGTGGTTGAATAATGATACCAGCTATGCCTTTTCATGTGTTTAGTCCTTAATTTCAACATAATAAATGGCACCAGTTATTTCACATAAACAGTGACCTTGCCGCATGGTTTTTATAGAATTATAGGCTGTAGAATTTTGAATCTGAAAGGGACCTTCTGTTAGGAGTCCCCTACGCCTGTCCTTCATCCTACAGATGGGCAGACTGCAGAACTTTTTTCATGCTGACCCTGGTTTTTCTCAGCAGCTTTCCCAGGCACTATCGCACAGGCAGAGGTCAGGGACACAGATGACCAGTGAAGACTTCCAGGCCTCTTGCTCTTCATCCTTCCCTCCTTCCTCTCCCACCTCCTCTCAGACCTGGCTCTTTAGTGAAACCTTCTCTCACCTTTTTATTTTTCCAATATTGAAAGCCGACTATATATTTTTTTATCTTACTCTGCTGTATTCTTTTGATTGACACATGATATTTGTGCATCTTTATGAGATACAGTCTGATGTTTTGATTCATACATGTGTTGGGTAATGTTCAGAACAGTCTCAGGATAATTAGCATTCCATCACCTTAACACTTACCTCATTTCTTCGTGGACTACTTCCCTGTGGCATCACTTTCTTAACCTGGAGGCTTTATTGTCTCTCACTTAAAAACCCTTCCTTTACCTGCTGCCCAGTCTCTTATCTCCCGTTGTTCAGAAAAAGGAGCCAGTACTTTGTCCATTTGGTTACTTCTGCCCCCATGAACTGCTGGAATCTGATTTTTGACCCTACTGTTAGGCTCTCTCTTACTGCTCTGGTTGCAATTTTTTGATTGTCAAATGCTTTTCAGTCTTTGAGGTGATGGTTCTCTAACTTTCTAGCCTCAGGATCTCATAAAAATTGAAGAATTGAAAGAGTTTTTATTGATGAAAATTTTATGTTTAGATTTTAATATATTAGGAATTAAAACCAAGCATTTTAAATTTAGATTTTCGCAGATTTCTTTAAAGTCTGGCTTAAGAAAACAGGTGAGATTTTTATGTCTGGATGTCTGTTGCAGTATGTTGTTTTGTTTGAAGTATTTGATGAAAATCTGGCCTCACTAAAATATGTTGCTGACAAGGAGCAGACTGTTTAATTGCTTTTTCAGATAATTCTGTATCTTCTTTGATACCACACCAAAGCTCAGCATGTGGTTGCTTTTTGAAGGTTAGTTGCAACGTGGACTCTCAGTCATCTGAACTTTTCATTTTGTTATGTTAAATTCAACCTTGTGTCCTGCACTTTGAATAGGTCTTTCACCGGCCAGTGATTTTCTAACATTATGTATTGACCCTTGGAAAACACTAGTTCACTGAGTTACATAGGTTGTTCAGATATTGTCACCTTACAGTCCTCGCCAAACTCTCACATTTGCTAATATTACTGTTAATCTCCTCAAAAAAGTTCATCAGTCTTGAGAAGTCAAATAGTTTTTCAAAGTTCTGGTTTTTACTTGAAAGTTTGAATTTTATCATTGACAAATTTTGTCAGTTGTGTTTCTGAACAGGCTGACTGTTTCATTTTCAGATGTCTCCCAAATATCCAGATCCAAATAACCGTGGTTTGTTTCTCAGTAATCGTGTTCCGGGAGGAGAGCAGGTGATTCCTCTTGTGGCTCCTTCCATGTGTTTTTCTCGGAGGCAACCATGACATTGCAGTAGGCAGAACCGCTTTGTGTGCCTATCCCATTTTGTACACAATGTTGCTGTTTTTTTACTACCTGTGCATAGCAATGAAGTGAAGTGATTCCTACTACATTTCTGTGCCTTTAAATTGGTTTTAGTGAAGAGGCCAGCAGCTTTTTCTGTCATTGCTTTCCAATCACCAGTACAAAGTCAACACAACAAAAAATATCAAATTACATCTCAATATTTTTATGAAGAGAGTTTTGACATCATGTGCTTTTCATAGGAACATATGGCTAACGGAGTCCACAGACCACTCTGTTGAGAGCACTGGTTTAGTGAAATTCTTTGTGGTATGGAAATATGAAATATTTCTTCTTTCTTAAACCTCATTTGCTTTCTGCATCCACCATAACCCAAAGTCATAACCTTCCCTTGGTTCCAGCACTTGAGGAGAAGGCAGACTAGAACTCAGGAAGACCAGGGATTATGATTTTGTGACTCAATAAGTCCTGAAATTTATTCTGTTCCTTTTAAAAGGTCCTTAATTTTCTAGGGGTTCCTGACTCTCCTCAAATCCCATTGACTCTGAAAAAACCATGGGGTTTTGATGTTAAGCAAAGAATCATTATGCACAAAAGCAGGCAGCAAATGTGCCTACCAAGTAGAACTCACATCGTAGCAGGTGTCTTACTAAGTGTCTCAGATCTGCATTCTTCAAATTGCATTCTAAATTCACTATGCTCAGGGTATGTTGGTCTTTCTTCTGTTCCTGGCCCGAGGACAAGCTTATTCCTCCAGCAAGACTTCTGTTCTTAACTATTTCCAAGGTTGATAGTGGGCATCCTCCATGTAAGGACCCAACCTGCTTGCTCTTGTCCTTCCAGTCAATCTCCCCTGGCCTCCCTCTCTGCAGTAGGCCCCTTGCCATCACTGTCACATTACCTTCTTAGCTTCATAGAATTTTATCATCTGAACTCCTCTTGTTTCTGTTTTGTGTTTGTTAAGCCCCTTAAGAACAGGGACCTATTATGAATAAAGTCCCCTTATATTCCAAGCAACCTTAACTGTTGAATGAATAAATGCAAAGCTGTTCTATCAGTGAGGATCCAGAGGGTCTCCACCTGGAACAAAGGACAACACTTAAGGCCTGTTCCTCCCACCCATGCTCGGTTACTTCTGTTACCCCAGCATTCCCTTCTGTAACTCTCAGATGCTTCTGCCCAGACCTGTCTCATCCTGTGAATTCCACAGTTAACCCAGAGTCTCAGCAATGCTAAGAACTCAGTAAGTGTTTAGCTTGCTTTTGTTTCATGGAAACCAGCTTCTCAATGATAAAGAATATGTGTAAGTTCCCAAAACACAGTATGTATGAAATCTAATGATGTATATATCTTAAAATATATATACAGCATATATATTAAAATATATATACTATTTATATTACGTATACCTTAAAATATACATACAAATAAACTATTTGTGTGTATACACACTTATATGTAAATACAGCGTATATAAAGTCTGTTTTTTCAAAGACTTAAGATCCTAAGCGAAAAATTCTCAACCTCTTTAGTTTTAGGACTCATTTATACTCTTAAAAAGTTAAGGAGCGCCAGCGCCGCGGCTCCCTAGGCTAATCCTCCGCCTTGCGGCGCCGGCACACCGGGTTCTAGTCCCAGTCGGGGCGCCGGATTCTGTCCCGGTTGCCCCTCTTCCAGGCCAGCTCTCTGCTGTGGCCAGGGAGTACAGTGGAGGATGGCCCAAGTCTTTGGGCCCTGCACCCCATGGGAAACCAGGATAGATACCTGGCTCCTGCCATCGGATCAGCGCGGTGCACCGGCCACAGCATGTCGGCCATAGTGGCCACTGGAGGGTGAACCAACGGCAATAAAGGAAGACCTTTCTCTCTGTCTCTCTTTCTCTCACTGTCCA